AAAATTTATGGGAAGTTCCACTTAGCACTCCTTCTTCTAACCAATTGTCTCTACTTTCCGGATAACATGACCGTGACTGAGAGAATAACTTCGCTGAAAACAGACAAACACGAACTTACCACGACTTATTCATCAGTCTGATAAACAGAAAAGAATTTGCCTCAGCTGCTTGGAGCTCAGCCAACCTGAGTTCAAATGGGAGTCAGACCTCAATGCATTTTTGACATTGCAGCACCGCAGTCTTCAATTGCAAGGCGTTGCTACCTGGCACGTCGCACCGAAGAAGCAGTACTGATGACAGAGCGAGATGGCTACAATCGTTCCCATCGAACCTGCGTAAACTCTCAAGAACCTGTGCATTTACGACAGAATTAAACAAAGTTGAATGTCAATCAGCTTTACTGAAAGTTCTTTTCAGTCCGAGGGATATCATACTTATGTGAACTCGTAATGCCAAGCTTGGGTTTTTATATCATTTTGTTGTTTCATTCTATAACCTGTTGTATGGCGCTTGTTGTAAAGCAGCCATGCTTCCATGATGGGTAAACAAACTGATAAATGAATAGGTTCATTATCCTCTGATCTGGACCACATTCAGAGAGGCAAGATATGAGGAGGAGCAGGCTGAAGAATGAGCACAATGACTCTCACATGTACAAGAAAGTCTTTTACGAACAAGATTACCCTTTATTCAGGAGAGTTCGACATGCATGCTTGATGCACGACATCCAATTCCTTTTAAAATGGGGAAAATTCTAAAAAAAACAAATCTCAATATATTCTCTTCCTTCATTTCATTGCTATACTTTTGAAGCCTTCCAAATACATGTTCAATGCCAAAAAAAATCCTACGTATCAAGGAGAGGGAATACGAATACGTGTATCAAGGAGAGGGAAGGTGCCTAAAATGTACCAAATGATGGAAAATGAGCACGTTTCGCAGTACACTGACTATAGACACATCCCGACACAGACACGCACGTGGAAACTATGATTTGCATGCTTTTCTCGTTGGGGCCCGTTCTTTTAACCCGGAAAAGAGGTAGAACGCGCCAATGTGTGAGGCCGTAAGGTTACTGAATGCCACTCCTCTGACTATGGCGGGATGCTTCTTGACGTCTCTTTACATATCGTTGCTACGTTACTATCAAGTGGGGCTAGCGTAGCTTGGTATCGACCTCCCGACAACACTTGTTTTAGCCACATTCGATACGGCTTGATAAAATACAAAGATGTAAGAGGTGTTAACATTGGAACTGTCCCCAACAGTAGAAATGTACTATGTTCCAGGATCGGATGATGATAGATGTCCAGTTGCTCAGTGGCATAAGTGACGATGGCAAACAGGAAGAAAATGGGCACACATGCCTGTACAGTTAGTGCCTAAATAGAAAACATATAATCAATAGATTATATAATAACATTCGGCCTAGTCAGTTCTTACTGTCCTTCACTTCCAGAATTCAGATATCCAGGTTTTGGTAGGTAAGTTTTCCGTTGGTAGACTTGGCTAGAACTCGACACTGAAAAGTGTTTTGACCTCTGAGTACGGAAGTTACATCAGCTTGGCTGACTGCTACGTCTCATAAGGTAACTTTGCCATGTTCTTGCATTCTCCGACTGGTCGTCACTGCCATATGCGCGAGAGCAATGCGCCTGAGAATACGGCCATCACGACATTTCTGGGTGTTTCTGAATGCATCAGACCTTCTCAGAAGTGATTCGGTCAGTGAGTGTTTCTCAGAAATTATAGCAGAGCATCTGCTCACAGTTCTACATAAGTTGAACGAGGAGAACGAATTTTCCTATCATATTTTAAAAATACGTTCAAACATATTGTAATCACCTTGAGAAGCTGCGATTGGAGGCGACGGGAGTTCTCAGAAATGGTGCTTTCCTTCTTGAGTTTCATGGCAGTAAATCTCCTGAGTATAAGAATAGCCGTGTAGACTGGCGGACAAGGGAGCGTCATGTGCAAAATGTTAGGCAGTACTTTCCAGCTGAGAATATTTTTTTGACCGCTGACACATTCTGTGCTCATATCATAACCGAATTTTTTCTCAATCATTGCTTTCAACTCAGCTTCATCCATCGTTCGCGGTGGAGAATGTTATCTGAAAATACGAATTAAAATACATTCCCGTGCTAGGGGAATGGAGACCGTCTAGTTCATCAGTGCACAGACGTGTTTTGTGATGCGCAGGCATTATTTATGAGAGCGCTGGCATGTGACGTTTGCTTCCTTTATTGTTCCTGTTACTTTCTTGTTCGGCTCCAAATCTAAGGTTGCGCTCTATTCTAAAGACTTGAGAACGTTATCAAGCCATCCTTGTACGGTTTTCCCGAACGTTTTTGCTCCCGATTTACTTCTTAAAAGGACCACACTATTTGAAATGCTGTGAAGCTAGGGGGGTACTCGTGTCCGCTTGACACGTAAGATGTGTCGCAGCAAATGATGTGGAGAGTTCTACATTAATCAGCTGCATGTGGAAGCTCGTCTCAAACTCCTGCTAAAGTCCTGGGAAATTTTGTAGAGTACTGCGAATTAGCGGAGGTGTGTAATGGTGAGTGGCACGCTTATCACGTGAGCGCTCCGGGACCAAATCCGCGATAGGCTCTGGCTCAGGCCAACAAGCCTTCCACTATACGAGCACGGTAAATTGGTACCAGATTCGGCTGGGAGGTTGAGAGAACAGATTTGTGCATCGGCTGGCCCCACATGCCACACTACAAACCACATCGCACTAAGCCACTACAACGGGAACTTCATCCTTTTGCGAATTATCAGTTCGTGACTTTGTTTTACTAATGTCCCATATATTTTATTTTGCTACAAGTACCACTTTTATTGAAAGCTTCTTTTTTTCTTTCTTGGATTCTAGAGGCGCTAGTAGAGAAAGGTGCGGAAAACGACTATAAATTAACAGGGATAAGAAATCTCCCTGAAACCAAAGAATCAGGCTGATAAAGCCCAGGGCTGGGTGAACATTTCTTCCAAGCCCAAAATTGCTTCCACACTTGGTGAAAAGTGGTTCACATAATCTGAGTCAGTTTGGTGACTCCCCGCCTATTCTACCTTACTGTGCTTATTTCCAGATACTAGATCTCTCAATCAATGAATATCGAAACTATGAAACAGATGCAGAGAAGATGACAGCGCTCGTTCCTAGCGGTTAAAAGATTCCCGTAACAATTTCAATCCCCAAATTTGCAATCAGCACTCCAGACTCGATCGGGCTATGTTTGAGTTTCATGGAAACGAGTAGCCATTCCCTGAGCTAAGAACGTCGACTAAGGATCTCCAGGACCAGACTTGCTAGCGCGGATGAATCAGTGGGTCATATTACAAAAAAGGGAATACTAGAAGAAAGCTTAGAGTGTACTCTTTTAAACTCACAAGTTGAAATAAAGACGGCAGATAGATCAGAAGAATAGTGATTGCAACAGTCCTGCGTCTAGGTTGCGGTCGCCTCAAAACGTAGTAACGGTATGAAAACGAGTATAATAGAGTCCATAGTCCATGAGCATAGCAGTGTATCATTACACTGTATCTAGAACGTGGTTTGAAATTTTTTAAAAATCAGCAAGAGGCTTTACCCTCCCGTCACACTTGCACTCACCCAATAAAACAGCCCAAAGCTCCAAAGAGTACACATGGTCCATAGGAAACAAAGAAGAGGCTGAGTCCACCGGAAACGATTCTGGAAAAAGTTTGGATCGAGAGCTCTGACGACTGTCTCATATTGTAGGCACAAACAGGATTCAAAGGAATCTAGAGGAAAGTAGATACAGAACAAAGTCAGTGTTGTCATCATTTCGACAATTATACCGTCATTGCACCCGAAAAGGCACTATTTTCAAAAAGACACAGACACATACACACCTTTGCTGCACAAAAAGCGCCGCTGCGCATGCGAGAAAATCGAAGATGGCGAAGTTGAAAATGAGGATCGAGTAGGTTCCCATTTGTTTCGGAGTTTTCTTCAGCACCAAGAATATGAGAATACCATTAGCAGCCATTCCGAAAACATTTTGAAATAGATGAAGCAAAAGGCTGATCCAGTACAATACATCCATTCCCTGCATAAAATAGTACAGTACTCTTAGGACTGCAAATTATCTTGCAGGTGTTCTGAAGAATAGCCCTCGAGAAAAAACAATGCAATAAGTAGCGACTATCTATCACCTAAGGGTACTTAAATTTATCCCGGGGCTGTCGGGTGTCTGAAGAATCCTATTGAGTTGGTCAACAGTTTCTGAGACACGATTGCTGCTGCTGGTGGTGCTCTGCCTATGCCTCACATTCTGCCACTCACTTGCGCGGATGACATCAGCAACATTACCTTCTTCCAATTGTGGATCTGAGTGTCGAGAATGCGCCGCAACAGGACCGAAAGTGTGCTTTTTAATGTCAACCACTCGCCATTAGCTCAAGCAGGAAGGTAAGAGGGTCCCAACACCTCGCCCGAGATTCAGAAGATGTTGCGTTACTGATGGAGCGTCAGCGAAGTCATACATGAGGTTTAGCTGTAAAACGCTTCTGCTTTTAGGTTGTTCGGAAAGTTCTCAGCGTTTTGTGTTACTATTTTTGTACATTCATTGCTGATTAAAAACTCATTCCCCTGCGTCTCATACATCCTGAAGATATTTTTGCGCTATCTGATGGTATAATTGCCGTTTCACCATTGCTTGATAAACCTTTTTCCCAAGACTTTTTGAAGCATGTCAAAAGAGCAACTTCGGACGATATTTTTCTTCAACTACAAATTGGGTCAATCCGCAGTCGAGACAGCTCGACAAATTAACCAGGTGTGGGGGCCCAATAGTGTTGGAGAAAGCACCGTGCGCAATGGTTCGACAAATTTCGTTCTGGAGATTTCAGCCTTGAAGATGAACCTCGTAGCGGTCGACCTAAAGCAATACCTGACGAGGATTTGAAGGCGTTTGTGGAGGCTGACCCATCCCAAACAGTTCGAGAGATTGCAGAAAAGCTAGGCGTTGGGAAGGTGAAAAAACTCGACAAGTGGGTGCCCCACAATTTGAGTGACCGGCAGAAATTGGCACGTCTCGAGGTTTCTTCTTCACTGCTTTTGCGCAACAGAAACGACCCGTTTTTGGACCGAATTGTCACCTGTGATGAAAAATGGATCATGTATGATAACAGGAGACGTTCCGGACAGTGGTTGGATGCCGACGAACCACCGAGGCAATTTCCAAAGCCGAATCCCTCACGAAAAAAGATTATGGTCACAGTGTGGTGGTCATCGGCTGGTGCGTGATCCACTATAACTTTTTGTCACCAGGCCAAACCATCACAGCAGAGTCCTACTGTGAAGAAATCGACGAAATGTACCGAAAATTGCGTCAGCTGCAGCCAGCACTTGTCAACAGAAAGGCTCTGATTCTTTTGCATGACAACTCCCGCCCACACGTTTCACAAATCAGTATCCATAAATTGAACAAATTGGGGAATGAGTCTCTAGCTCACCCCGCCATATTCTCTCAGACCTTTCACCAACCGACTATCACCTTTTCAAACATTTTCAGAACTTCCTTGCTGGAAATACTTCATCATCAGGACCAGGCAAAAAAGCCTTCGTGGATTTCGTGGATTCTCGACCACCCAGTTTTTTTCTTTGATGGGATTTCTCGACTGGTGTCACATTGGCAAAAGTGTGCTGATTCGAACGGTGCTTATTTCGATTAAATCCGATGAGTGTTAAGAAAGTTTATGATCGTTTAGTGAAACACTCAAAACGCTGAAAACTTTCCGGACAACCTAATACTATTGCTGGGGTGTAGGACTTTCTTAAAAGATCTCACTTCACACCTATCATGCCTCTCGGGGAGACTCGCCTGCGGTGTTGCCTGACTTAATTGCTCTCTCACTAGCTCCTGACCTTTCCTGTTTGCTGAGATTAATCATCAATGATGACTGATTAGTTGCTGCTGATGTTTTAGCAAATTTGATAGAATTAAGGACTACAATTGAAAAACTTCAATCACATGAAACAATCAAAGATGAAAAGCATGCTAAAATGAATTATAATGGCAAACACAAAGTAAGTTATAAAGATGTCTAGATCCATACTAACACTAGCTCATTAAGCTTAATTCTAATGCGAATTTATAACACATAAATTAAGCTTGCGGTGTAGTGTAGTGATGAATCCTAGACATTTTCTACATATTTTTCCGCTTTCGTAAACCTCGTAGTGTTCTGCGTCCATTGCATGTAATGCAAAAGTGACACGGATTGACTGTGCCTACAATCCTTGTTAAATTTACTATCATCTCGTTTTCCATAATTGCCGTTAACCTGCTCGTCTCGCCCCATTGTATTGTCCTGTGGTCTGTGCTTTTCTGCTGCGTGCTAAAAGGGATTTTGAGATTGCCTAGTAGGAAAAAACGCTGTAATGGCGGTTTTGTTGGGCATCCTCGTTGAAGATGCCAGGCGAGTTGAATGTGTTGTGATGGGGCACCCCTTATGGACAATGAAGCCCGTCACGCGCGCTTAAGATGCAGAAGCGGAGTGCTTGAAGCGAAGTTCTATCCCATCCCGAATAATTATGCTGGCCCGTCGAATGGTATGTGTGCTTCCAGTTAAAACATAAAACGAGGGAAACGGCACATGCATAGTAGTATACTGCTCCCGAAGAACCGATGAGGTTGTGTACAACCAAGAATCATATGTTGAGTTAGTAGTGCTTTGTGCGACATCAAATGAAAAAGAAAATGTGTACAAAGGGAAAGGGAGTGATGTACTGCCGGAGACATCACGGAAAATCAGAGAATTGGTGGGAACGGAGGAAAGGGAGTGAATGTTATCGTTCATGCTCTACTGTGCGTTACACAAACAACAGTGCTAAAGATTTCCGCTAATCAGCTCGCTTAATTACTGATTAGCGACAACCTTTATATCAGGTGTGAGGTTGGTAAAAGAGATGTCTAACAGTTAAAAGTAGTGACGGTCATATTTAACGAATTCCCTATAGATGGCCATCAATTTAGTCCAATTACAGCGAGTTCTTGGCGCAGAACACATTCAACCTTCAAGTAATTACAGAGCCTAGAAGTTCAAATCATTTGGAATACCTTCCATGATGAAAACAATAGAATTTTTTCAATAGGTGCCCTTTTTCCCATTTAAATTGCAGTAATTTCATGTTGTGTACGTCTGCATTTCAGTTGCTCTAAGTGGTTAAATGTTCTTGACATTTTGAATTTATGAAAACATTTTTTCTGACATTTCCAACGTTTACTTTTTTTTTCCTTCTACTTTCCATGTTCAGTTTGGCTCAGTCGTGTCTGTAGACGAGAGGTCAGGAGTTAGTGAGAGAGCAATTAAGTCAGGCAACACCGCAGGCGAGTCTCCCCGAGAGGCATGATAGGTGTGAAGTGAGATCTTTTAAGAACATCACACACCGGGTGTGTAACTTTAGCTAAGCCGGTAATTAGGCTGGCACATCTCGCACCTAGTGTGCCTTGCCAGTGGGGAGCCCTCTCATAATAGACTGACCTCTTGTTATAACGCTCATCTCAAAGCATAACTCATCTCAAAGCATAACAAGGGACTGAATCAATATTTATTGATGCCAATTTATTAGGCTAATATTAATAATAATTTTGCACAAGATTTACAATTACAGTATGAAAAAGCAGCACATTTCAGTACAAAAAAGACACATACGAATTACAAGAACAAACTATGAAGTTGTGTCTGTATACCTGGTTTTCCTGCAGT